CTCCCCCAGGTCCACTCCACCATGTAGCCATCGCTCTAGACTCCTGTCATGACAGAAATACCTAATCACATATCTCTTTTAAACAGGTTTCTCCCTCCTGTGTTTCAATGCAGTATATATTTTTTAATCCATCTTACTCAATCTCTCCCCAGCCCCAAGGTTAGTCCCATTCTACAACAGTGGCATCATGTAATATTTGTCCTTTTGTGACTGGGATATTTCACTCAGCATGATGTTCTCCAGAGTCAACCATTTTGAATAATATTGCATGAGTTCCTTGTTTTTTAATGCAGCATAGTATTCCATTGTGCGAATATACCACAGCTTCTCTATTCATTCGTTTGTTGATGGGCACTTAGGTTGTTTCCAACTGCTTGCTATTGTGAACAAAGCTGCAGTAAATGTGGGTGTGCATAGCTTTTGATTTCTTGACTGCTGTTGCCAAAGGTGTTGATTGTGGATCCAAGTAAGTTGAAATCATTAAACATTTCAGTCTTCTTTCCATTTATATGTCTCAGTGGTGAGGATTTTTGTGGTGTTTTCTTTTATGTTGAGATATAATCTATATTGAAAACTTTGTGCCATCAATGTTTGTTCATTTCAAAGAACTTTTTTAACAAACACCAACAGGAAGTTCATCACCTGGTCGAGTTCGAACCACCTCTGGGAACCAGATCCTCCTGTAAGTTTTCAGAGACAGTTAATTACACGAGAGGAGAGTGCCCATCTTTCTCCCAAGGAGCATCTCCTGAACCAAGTGCCTTTGGATTTGCAGTGTAGCTTCTTACCAGGAGGCTACCAGAGCCCCTATATAGATGTATATATATTATAGAGAAATCAGATTGACTACATCTGTGGGAAGAATTGTTAGAAAAGCTAAATGTCAGCAGTCAAAATGAGGCTAAGTGCTGATTGTATAATAGACCATCAATTATTCATGTGAAAATTAAAATGTGTATCAGATACTTTCCTTCTCCTCTGTCTTTTTAATAACTTGCTTTCTTCATGTATGATATCCCTGATATCATCAATCAACTCTGATCTTCAATCATAAGTATTCAATGCCTCAAACTTACTCTTGAGATAGTTTTAAAATTCAGGTGGGATGGACTCAAGGTGGTATTTCAGCACTCATGAATTTCTTTTGATTTTCCTCCACTTCAGTTTTAATTTTCAAATGGAGGTCTTTTGTAAACTGTAAAACAAACTTTCCAAAAGTGAGACTTAGCTGTGTTGATGTAGAGGACAAGGGAGAGGGAGACTGTTCAAACTGCAGTTTATGGTAACATGAATATATTGTAGGGTGAAGTCTACTTTTACTTGCAAAAAAAATGACCCATTTGAAATCCCAGAGCACAGTTCTGCTTGGATACATTGGGCTGCTGTGAGTCAGAACTGAGCACGCATCGCTGGTAAAGTGCTTATTGCTGGCGTGTAGATGTTGGGCATTGCAGTTTCTTTAGCACCCATTTTGCCTTCTTTCATTATAAACACCGAACTCCTTATTCATTTAATCAAAGGAAACTCTGTTGATTTAAGTTTTTCTTTAATCTGTAAAAATGTCCTCAGGTCTGACAGAGTTGTTATAAAGGACTGTGAGAGAATATGCATGAAGAATGCTTATATTATGATACTGATTTGATTGCTATAGAGACCTGTCCACAAAACCACATAATCTTCTCTTAAATATGCATAGAGCCACTTATTTTAGATCTTTCCCTGTTTTGCATAGGGATCTCTTGCTTCATTCACTGACAGATGTTTAAATTTTCACAGGTTAATGTACATACTTAGGACTCT